TCATAGGCATGCATCATAGCGGATAAATCTCAAGGTCTTCTAGTTATAACTTCAAGCATGTATTAACGGGAGTTGGGGGGGGGGGGCGTTTCTGCATGTGTCGGGCTTTCAGAGATATCTGGAGTGTTTAATCTATTAAGTGGTTGGAGGTGTACTGACGATGCTAGATGCAAAAGTATTATTTTACAATCGTTCTGAGAAGAAGTGAAGACCCTCAACACTTGAGGCAAAGATGTTATTGGAGGTATTTAGATACTTCGGTTCAATTATTAGCAGAAGTCTCTCTTCGATGTATTATTGGGAGGAAGTATTAATCGAAGTTATTTTTTTATGCCATTTTCTCGATGCTCCTTACACTCCATTATTCTCATGTAATGTTTCTTCGCTGGAGGTGGCGTCTTACGCAAAGGATTTAGGAGGGCATTCTATCGTCTTGACATTGTTCAAGAGTAGTGGAGGTTTACCGTAGTGACATCATGGAGGAAATGCCAACCTTTATTTTCTAAGGTAAAAGCATCTCGACACTATAGTTGAGGCATATCAACACTTTATAAAAGTATTTTTGTGTTGAATCAACAAGAGTGGGAGACATCCCTTTCTCAACAAAACTTCCGAAGACATTTCAACATAATATTATCCATGAAAACTTTATAATTTTTTTTTTGAAAAATGTAATTTTGTATGTTATTAATTTAAAATATAACATACAAAAGCAAGACAAAAAACATTCATTTAATTTTCTTTTTTTGATAGAAGTAACTAATTTTATTCAAAATAAGAAATATCCCTAATTATAATAAATGTTTACAATCACAATCGTAATTTAAACACATAATTAAGAAAATTTCCTATAATTATTGAGACAAAACTAGTAACTTAAGATCACATAAGGATCATACAAGGAAAGATTAAATCTAACCAAGAAACTTGAACAAAGATAAATACAAACAAATCTGATCGCATCGATAAATGAACCACAAAAGGGGATCAAGCTATTGAAAGATCACCGACAAATCCAAATCAAACTCGAGCGACATGAAAAGCTATCAACGAATGCAAATCGGGTATCCAAATCCAATATGAGGGTCCAAAGCAGGGAAATCAACAAGATATTAGATAAACGTCATTTTGATCAGTCGTGACAATGCCAAATCAACCTTTAGAAAAAAGATAAAAGAAAAAACGGCCAAAGAACCGAAACATACCAAAAAGCATAAAAAACGTGCCATAAAGGCGATGAAAACATGCAACATATGTAGACTTATTAAAAATCAAAAGACAAAATAAAATAAAAATATAATATAGAGAAGAAAAAAAACAATAAATAATACCGACGGTAACAAGTAACATTAAAGTTGATGTCGTCGCCTATCAACAAAGACGAAAAAGAAAAGAGATGAACAGTTTATTAATAGAAGAAAACTAGGTTTTTTTCCTCCAAGAGACACAAAATCGAATTAGTATATATTTTTAATGACAGAAATTCATTCATTCATTTAACTTTATAAGTTAAGTAGTTACACATTAAAAACATAAAATAGTACAGTATGCATGAAACAGTGAATAAAATTTCAATTATCATTTAACATGAAATAAAATTTGGATGATGATTTAATAAAATAAATATTAAATGAAATCCAAAATCAATTAGTTGATATATATATATATATATATATAGAATACCATACGTTTGAAACATTCATTTATGGCTTAAAGTAATATACATATATAGAATACCATACGCTTGAAACATTCATTTATGGCTTAATGATTACTTTTGTCGTAGACCAAATTTATTATTTTTGTCCCTATCATATTTTCACGTCAATTTTACCTTTAAAATTATTTAATTGCATCATTATATACTATTCCTCTAACTTAAAACCCTAAATTATAAACTCTAAGCTAGTATTTAGAAGAAAAAGGGTTATGTTTAGGGTTTATGATTTATAATTTAGGATTTTAAGTTAAGGGTATAGTTATAGAATGATGCAATTGAATAACTTTAAGGGCTAAATTGATGTGAAAATACGATAGGATGAAAGTGATAAATTGGGTCTACTACATGGGCAAAAGTTATCCTTTTACCTTCATTTATTGATTAAAAAAATCAGAGCTTTATATTATTATTTTAAAAAATTAAATATTAAAATATTTTGACTTATATCAGAAGTTAAACCCTAAAGCTAAACGCGGGGATAAAGAAATTTTTTTATTGATTGAGATAAATAAATTTTTTCATGATAAATATACATAATATTAATGTACTTTATTATCGACGAGAACTTTATAATTAAGTAAAAAAGTTAATCTTTAAAATAATAAAATAAGGCCACATGCATGAAACATGAAATAAAATTCCATTTACTATTTAATATAAAATGAAATATGGACTAGGATTTAATAAAATAATATTAAATGAAATCCAAATCCAAATCCAATTAGAAAATCTATTAAATATATGTATAAATAATAAAATAATATTAAATGAAATCCAAATCCAATTAGAAAAATTATTAAATATATGTATAAATAATAAAATCATATTAAAAGAAATCCGAATCCAATTAGAAAATCTGTTAAATATATGTATAAATAATACAACATGCATGAAACATTCATTCGAAACCCTAAGAACAAAGTAAGAGTTCTCTTCTGCTGCAATTCAAATAAATCAGAAAACCATCAATGGCTGATGAAACTAACACCATTCAAGAGAAAGTGCAAGACGAGAGTGACGATCGTCGTAAGAAAACCAACAAGAGAAAGCTTCAAAAGCCGAATGATAGACAGGAGATGTGGGATTGGCTGCTTAACTCTGATGATCAAAATCAGGAGAAAGTTGAAGAAATCTGTTCTAAACCTAATATCGTAAAAGATGATGAGATCGAATCCCTGTTTAATAAGTCTAAGAGAAGGAAGACGCTGACGGAAAAAGACCCTCAGGTCATCGGATTACTTGTTGAGAAAGTAATGGCTCTAATGGAGGTCGCCGCAGAAGAGGACATTGAGTTCAACAGGCAAAACAAACCCGGCATTAAAAAGATCCAGATGCTGCCTCTTCTTACCGATTATCTTTCCAAGAAACATCTTCAACCAGAGTTTATGGATCATGGGGTTTTGAGTTTGTTCAAGAATTGGCTCGAGCCTCTTCCCGATGGAAGCTTACCAAACGCCACCCTTCGAGGATCGATTTTGAATATCTTAACACACGTGATGCCAGTGGATATAAGGGCAGAAGATCGAAGGGAGCACTTGAAGAGGAGTGGACTGGGTAAAGTCATCATGTTCCTGTCAAAATCAGATGAGGAAATCACTGCCAATAGACAACTTGCAAAGGATTTGGTTGAAAACTGGAGTCGAACCGTATTCAACAAGACTTCAAAGTATTCGGAAGTAGAAAAGGTTGTGATTCCTTTGAACAAGGCGTCGCCATCACCATTGAAGAAGAAATCAGCAATTGAAGTGAGGGAGGCTGATTTAGATTTGGAAATAGCGCCCCACGAGAAATCAAGTTCCTCGGGGAGAGGCGGCGGTGTTGCAGTGCCGGAAGCGGCAGCGCTTGTATATGAGGTGAATCCAGGAACAAGTTCCAAGGCGGGGGTTGAAAGAGGTGGTGTGAGAAACCTAAAACAGAGAGGCCGCTACTGCAAGCGTTATATGGAGATAGAGAAGAAGATGAGAAAGTTGAAAAACTCTAATAAGACTGCTCGTTTGCTTTTGTAAACCTCCTTTATGATCATTTTAATTAAACACAAACCAATTTTAGCAGTGATAAAAATATCAGATTTGTTTTCTGCAAGTTTCAATATTTTCTTCTCTACGTGCTTGTAAACTACAAATTTCTTAAAGAGAAAATACACGATTTTTTTTTAAATGAAAACTCATGAGATAGAATTGATTCAAGTGAGATGAGAAGATATAGGATTCAAGCTGTACTATGTCTAAGAAATTAAGGTGCACTACAGCAAAAGTATTCTGTAGTGGCGTTTTTAGCGGCATTTGGAGAGTAAACGCCACAAGATATTGAAATATAGTGGCGTTTATAATCCAAACGCCGCCAAATGATAATATAGCGGTGTTTTTTCAAAAAATGCCACAATAGAGTAGTAATTTAGCGGCGTTTTTAGAACAAACACCAGTATAGAGTTATTTATTGTGGCGTTTTATCAACAAACGCCGTAAAAGAGTAGTCATTTAGCGACGTTTTTGTATAAACGCCGCTATTGAGTATTAATGGTACGGCGTTTTTTGATAAACGCCGCAATATTATTGTATCTAGTGGCGTTTTATATATAAACGCTGCAATATTATTGAGCCCTAAATCACCTCCGACTTCGAGGCCTGGTAGAAGCAGCAAACAGAGTCCATTTCTCTCCCTCTCTTTCCCGCTTCCTTTGATTTAGGTTTCTCGCCTTTTGCCTCATGCTCTAGTTCTGTTCTCTCTTCTCAACATGAAGCTCGTCAGGTCAGTTTCCCTTTCCCTCTTTAATCTCAACTCTTGATTAGCGAAATTTATCTTCCCTTCGTGTGTAACAATTACGTGTAAAAAATTAAAAACAACTTGTTGGATCTCTTTAAAATGGCTTCGGTTTGAAAAACAATGTGCAGGTTTTTTGATGAAGTTGAACAATGAAACGGTGTCGATTGAGCTCAAGAACGGCACCGTCGTTCACGGCACCCTCACAGGTTCCTTTATTTTCGTTCTTGTCTCTCTTTTTCGCTTCGTTAGGGTTTAATGCTCTTAATATAAACATGGAAAACCATCTTATAATCCATTACCGCTTAATATAGATTTGCTAACCCAAAGATTTGCTAATCATTCCGAATAAAATGATGTAAGAACCCTCTTCACTTCTTACATTTCAATCTATTACCGCTTAATATAGATTTGCTAACCCAAAGATTGATACAACTGCACTCTTAATATAAACATGGAAAACCATTTTTGGTTAGCACTACAATAATACTTTTCATACAAGAAAATTGTTATGTTCTTGATAGAATAGAAATGGGAAAATGGATGTTTAAAACTTGAAAAAGGAAGGGCTACCACAAGTAGTGAAGAACATGAGTCATGACTTCATTCCATATGGTAGACAATGAAGTAGGGTACTGTCAAATGTCAATAGTGCTCTTCATTGAGGGCGGCCAAAAAGGTTGTCCGGGGTTGATATTTAACCTATATTGTGCTTAGAAGTATTACAAACTCTCTACATTTACTTCTTAAAACCAACAGAGATTGAAAAAAAATGTATCCATGACTCACCCAGCGAAGAGCAACACATGAACCGCCAGCACGGCATCAATGTTAGATCAGGATCTCGAACGCAAAGCCAGACCAGTCTCCACTTTTTTAATTTCAAATATCAGCATCCTCCACATCTTAAGCACAAACATCTCTGCCTCCTCATCTAATATAGACTGCAACAGCTCCAGCATTTGGGAAGCCTTGACATGTTCCTGAGTACTCGATACGATGTAATCAACCAGAGTTTTCTCTTCTTCTCCCAAGAACTCCATAATTTTCTTTGAAATCCAGGGTCTCATTCTCTCATGCAGTGCATGCTGCACAAGTGACAGTACCACTTAGAATTAGTGTCAAGTTTATAATTGGGTTTAAAATAAAATTATAAGGTAAAAGATATCTGCCCAAAGATGATTATTTCAAACAAATGCAGAAGAGAAATATGGATACTGCAATGTTTATGTTAGTTCCATATATGCCAAGGAAGAACAAGCCTAATGCAATTGAAGCTAACATTATGCACTATTTTAACTAGTTAGCCCTAACCAGAGGACAGAATGTTTGAAAATAACTGTTTGAAAAAAGACATGTGAAAAGATGCTTACCTGGTCATAAACATTCCAGTTTATCTCATATGAAAATAGCTCCTCCTTGGTCTTTGGAATCATATCAATTAATTGTTTTGTATCCAAAAGTTTCTGGTTATCGGTTGTTTTCACCTTACCCTATCCATGTTCCCTGTCTCTATCCCGGTCATGGATTTTCTCTTTGGTCTTGTCTCTGTTGCGATTTCTATCCTCATCATTACGATCCTTATCCCTACTAGTTAAGGTTCTTACATCATTTTATTCGAAATTACCCTACTTGGGCTTAAAATTTGCACTCAAACTAATTCCCAATCATTATTAATCTTTTACGTGATGTTTAGGGGTCATAAATAAGGCTTTGAAACATGTTATAACACTTAAACATAGAATCTACCATGAAAACTACTAAACATGATTCACACTCAACTCTTAAGATATAATGCATTTCTAGTGTCCCATAATTGGTATGAAGAAGTTGTGAATGTGTTACCTTGATTTCTTGATTACTAGAAACGTCCTCAAATCACTCAATAGGCAATTTCTCTTTTCCCCTCTCACTTGAGCTTTCTCCCACTTCTTTCACTAATCAAAGTTAAGAAAATGAGTTACTAAATCAACTACGTGGTTGGGTTAAAATATAGAGGGTAAAAATATATTTTTAATATAAAATCAATATATAAATATAAAATATATAATAATTTTAAATTTTCAAATGAGGCAACTATATCCATCCATGTCTTAGTTCATCATTGGTTGGTTGGTAATTTCTCCTATACAAATAAACAAACATATCTCCATATTCATTGGGGGAAATATTTGTATGAATGGAAATTATGGATTATAATATATTGTCCTCCTCAAAACCTAAAGAACGTGCAATTGGTACAATTCCGAATAATTATTAAATATCCAAGTGAAGAGGAGGTGTGAAACAACAGAAGAGTCAGAAGAAATGTCCAGTTAACTCTTAATCAATGATCCATCTTTGGTTCTGTTAACGACATGGTTAGTGACACAAGACGAGGGTCTTCTAAAATTTGCATGAACTATGTTAGAACCATCTTTTCTGTCCTTAACAATCCCTAAATAGTTCTGTTTTTGTTTCAAATACATGTCTATTGTGTTGTACACAATAAATGGCTCTTAATTCAGTTCACTTCACTTGTGAAGACGTGTATTCGTGCTCACCTCTTTGGTATAGGTTCTTTAAATCATTTAACGTATTAGCCTCCTTTTCCCTTATGATGATATGTAATCGTGGTTTATTTGCTACAGTACACTTGCTTTGCCTGCATGGTTGTCAGAATTTGCAAAAAAAAAGTTACATAAATCACTGTTGTTGTTGGAGTTTGATCGAGTTGCACAGGTATTAGTGACATGCATATATTATTCTGGTTCATCGAAATAGCATCATAATAAACATTTTCCAGGTTTGTCCATGATACTCATTAAGTAAAGTATTTTTACGTTGCTTTAAGATTGTCAAATCAAATGTATTAAATTATTCTTGGTGTCGCATAGTTGACTAAGACTTAAGTGGATTGTCCTTGGAATTATAACTTCTAACAATCATAATTAATCACAGAGATATAGTATGCATTTCACTGAGAAATTATTGACTACGACTTAAGTCGGTTGTCCTTTTGTGTTATTCTTTTTCTTTATTTCTTCAACCCTTCGCTAATGGGTTAATTGGGTTTATATTTCGTTCTAAGTTCTTAATGCCTCTCTCGGTAACAATGAAACATGAGTCTGTTTATATGTAAATGCTACATTTGATGAAACATGTGTAAGTATTTAGTTCTATAGTATGCAGTTGTATATAATTATTGTTATAATTTTTATAAATTAACTGAGATACATTTTCTCCCATACAATTTTATCAATTTAAAAGTTGTATAATTTACGAGTGATTAGTTTTATACTATGCAAATATTATTATGCACTAAATATGATAATTTAATGCTTCTGTTTAGGTTCTAATTTTATCTATATTATTAGCAATTAACATTTGAAATTGAAACTCCAGAAATACGAAATGGATAAGAGTTGGATGGATTTCTCAAGGGTAAGCGTCGAATATCGAAATGGAGTCGAAAACTTTCTAAATTTAGCTTTTCTGAATGCAAGCCAAGAAAATATGATTCTTTGCCCTTGTAAGAATTGTGTGAACATTAATTGGCACATTCGTGAAGTTGTGTACGAGCATCTAGTTATTTTTGGATTTGTTCGGGGTATAGAAAATGGATCTTTCATGGAGAGATTGTATCAGATAGATCTGCTTCCACGAGTTACTCGACTTATCGTGCTCCTTCTCCCCATCCAACTTTTAGAGAAGATGACATGGAAGGGATGTTACGAGATGCATTTAATATGCACAATCATCAGTCGTATGATACAGAAAATTATTGTCAGGATGATGTTAATGATTTCATTGAGATTGGAAGAAGTGGATGTGATGAAGAGCCAAATGGAGAAGCGGCAAAGTTTTACAAGTTGCTGAATGAAATGAATGAACAACTTTATGAGGGATCAAAGTTTTCAAAGCTTTCTTTCTGTATTCGTCTTTTCCACTTAAAATGCCTAGGAGGGTGGACTGGTAACTCCTTTACGCAATTGTTGGAGTTACTAGGAGAAGTGTTTCATTTTGCAAAAATCCCTCAATCATGCAAAGATATGAAGAAAATGATCAAAGATTTGGGTCTTGGATATTACAAAATTCATAGTTATCCGAATGATTGTATGTTATATTGGGGGGATCAAAAAAATCAGGAGTCTTGTCATGTATGCAGAAAATCTCGATGGATGACTAGAGAGGCAGAAAATATTACTGAGGATGAAGCTCAAGCATGATCAAGAAAGAAACCGATCAAGATTCTGCGATATTTTCCTCTCATACCTAGGCTACAAAGATTGTTTATGTCCTCCAAGATTGCTGAGTCTATGAGGTGGCATCATGATGGCAGAACCGATGATGGATTATTACGGCATCCTGCAGATTCTTTAGCTTGGAAGTCATTTGACAACAAGTATCCAAGTTTTACGAGAGATCCTCGAAATGTCAGCTCGATCTTGCAACTGATTGGTTTAATCCATTCAAACTCATGAGTACTTCGTATAGTACTTGGCCTATTGTACTTGTTCCATACAATTTGCCTCCCTGGATTTGCATGAAACAATCATCTTTCATCTTATCCATGATAATCCCCGGCGAGAAAGGCCCCGGAAATGATATTGATATTTACATGCAGCCGCTAATTGCAGAGTTGAAACAGTTATGGGAAGGGGTCGAAACGTACGATGTGTTGACAAAGGAGAACTTTAATTTACGCGCTACTTTATTATGGACAATTAATGATTTTCCTGCGTATGCAAATTTATCTGGTTGGAGTACCAAAGGTCGTTATGCTTGTCCTTGTTGTGCTGCACAAACATGTTCGAAGTGGTTGGTTCATGGAAAAAAGTTCTCTTATATGGGACATCGTCGGTGGTTACCTGATAATCATAGATTTAGATTTCAAAAGAATATGTTTGATGGTGATGAAGAGTTTCGAAATGCTCCTGACCAAACAACCGGCTCTGAAATATTCAGAATGTTGAAAAATATCAATTTTACTTATGGAAAGATGAATCAACCAACTAGTACACGATCAAAGAAAAAGGCAAAACAGGTCAATGAAGAGCTTGAAGTTGACGAACAAACTGATGATGAGTCTGATGAAGAGGATGATCCAAATGAGGTAGACTTGTGGAAAAAGAGGAGTATATTCTTCGAGTTGCCTTATTGGAAAAAGCAGATTTTGAGACATAATCTTGATGTAATGCATATTGAGAAGAATGTTTGTGAGAATATTATCGGGACCATTCTGAATGATGGCAGAAAATCTAAAGATAATCTTAAGAGTCGACTTGACTTAGTGGACATGGGAATTCGACATGATCTTCATCCACAATTACGTCCGAATGGAATAAGTGTTTTGCACGGTGTTGAAGGATATAAAGTTCCCAAATGGGTATGCATCAAACATTTCTCGATGTGTTAGTGTTAAAGATCGAAGACTTTATGGTTTAAAGTCTCATGATTATCACATATTAATGCAAGATTTACTACCAGTAGCTGTTCGCGGTTGCATGTCTAGTAAGGTGACGTCTTGTATCATTGAACTTTCTAATAAAATGAAAGCCATATGTGGGAAAGTTCTAATGGTTGAAGAACTTGATAAACTACAAGATCGAGTTGCCTTGACTTTATGCAACTTGGAGAAGATATTTCCGCCTTCATTCTTCACAATTATGGTGCATCTGTTAATTCATCTTCCTCACGAAGCAAGAGTTGGTGGTCCCGTTTTCTATCGATGGATGTACCCTATAGAGAGGTATTAATTGAATTACACGTTTCAAATTACTACTGATTATACATTTGAATAAAATGTATTTACGTAGTATGTTGTTTTCTGTATAGGTTCTTGGGCAAGTTGAAGTCTTATTGTCGTAATAAGCGTTATCCGGAAGGATCAATTGCTGAAGGGTATTTGGAAGAGGAATGTATGACATTTTGCTCTAGATATTTGGAACATGTTGAAATAAGATGGAATAGACCAAATCGAAATGATGAGTTAGGTACTGATGACTTAACTCAACATTATTTGTTTGGAAGTTATGGTCAACCATTAGGGAAAGTTGAAATTGCACATTTAGATGACACGTCTTGGGTACAAGCACACCGATATGTTCTTTTCCATCACGATTCAATAGATCACTTTCGCACGTAAGTCTTTCGGACCCAATCCTAATGAAATCTCTTTATCTTTTATATTTATCAATTTTTATCGACATAATATTCTTTATAGTGAGTTTAAAGAAGTATTGAGATCTCGAGCACGCTCCCGAAGATTAAATCAGCGAGAGCTACATAAGTTGTTCACATAAACTTTTCATGAATGGTTAGGCCAGATGGTAAGCAACTAAATCTTACGGAACACTTATAAATAATATATGTCTTGCTTTTTATATCGACATCAAAGCAAATTAATTCACCATTCATGTGTAATAGGTTTGGAGTGGGAGAGAAGTTAGTGAAGAAGTTAAATGGCTTTCT